AGCAGGTGTGAAAGGACCCTAGGTCTGGGCTCCACCCTGTGGATCTCCTCTGTGTAAGAATGAGAATGACACAGAAAGACAGAGACAGGAAAACAGGCCATTTCTGGGAAAATGGGATTAGGCTATGAGTTCTCATGGCAAAGTACAGCAGAGTCCCTGCACTCAACACTAGTCTCCACAAATCCTTTTTTCCTACCAATTTAAGTTTATAAAGGAAAAGAGACAAATAGCGATTTTTACCATCTGCTCATCTGGATTCCACAGAAAGAGACTGAGAGTTTAATTGATACGAATTTGTACCCATTTTTGCCAGCCTGTCATGTCCTGGGTTCTTTGGGCTCTGGCTTCCAGAAGAGGAAAGTAGTTTTGTTTGATTCTATTCAAGGTGCTGAAAATTTGTAGGGTTGAAGGAAATTCCTCCTGCTCTAAGGTTCACTCAAAATCTTTGACAGGGGCCGGCAGGTGGTATGGTGGTTAAGGGCACTGGACTCCTACATGGCCGACTGTAGTTTGAGTCCTAGACCTGGCCTCTTGCTTTCTCACTTTCCCCGCCCCTCTCTCTCTCTCTCTCACTCTGTCCCTCTCTAGTCAAATTAAAATAAAAGTAAAGTTCAATAAAATAATCCTTTAAAAAAAATCTCTGACAATAGGCACATTACCGAGAAAATACCTACAGATGTACTTTAATGTTTACATGTATGTATAGGAGTCATAGAACATATGAACTCAGCATGGGGCCAGAGAGTTGTGGTTCAAACGTCCTCTTCATAGGAGGGAGGAAAGTGCAGGTGCAGACAATTTTAGGGCAAGTACGTTTTAGCAGAAAAGAGTAGATGTACTGTTCACACAGTGGGGATTAAATGATTCTCTTTGGGAGCTGGATGAGTATGGGAAATGGATAAAAGCTGATGAAAAATCATCTGTCCAGGAGTTGATATTTCTGAATCTCCCTTCTGTGATAGGAGTTTAGTCATTGAAATAGCAAGGAGGGGGGCAAAGATCATTGCTTTCCTCATTCCTAAGGAAGGTAATGGCATGTCAAGCATCAGTCTTGGGTTTATTTGTTTCTGACCCCAACACATCATGGCAAAAGGGTCTTGTAGTGGAGGAGAGGGATTGGTTTCAACCTTGATTAGAATATAGGCAAGTGTGAATTTATAGCCAAGGAGAAGGGTGGGGCCAGTGAATCATTAACAGGAAACTGAAAATATAAGGAGCTTCTGGCTCAACCAGCCTAAAAGGGCTTTTTTCCTTTTTTTTTTTTTTTTTTTTTTTTTTGAGGTTTTTGCCTTAGGGCGAGTGTACATGCCAGAGAGAGAGAGAAAGAGAAGCAGTGAGAAGGAATATGAGACCTCATCCCGTCCTGCAGGGGCAGCGGGTGGGGGATAGCCACACTGCAATCCCTTCTCCTCCATTCTCCTCCCGGGATCTTAGATTCACATGCAACATACCTGGCTTGACTTTCAAGTCTCTGGGTCCAGGGCTCGAAATACATTCAACCATGTGGGAGTTCAGGGACTTAACTGCTAGCCACTCTGATAGGATTCTTAGTGAAGAAAGGTCACATTGATCAAGCTGCACCTAAGGGCTGGAGGAGTCAGAGGAACCTGGGTCAGATACCCAGAGTGGAAGGTTCTTGCTAAATTCACTTAGCAGGGGGTCTTCACTAAAATTGGATTATAGGAAGTATTATACACCGATGTGCTTAGCGGAAAAATCAGAAGCCTGATTGATGTTTGGCCAAGCCAAGAAATTTGACTAAGTCCCTCTTGTTCAAAGAAAGAAAAACATTCTATTTGTTTCTCTGAAAATGATAAGTCTATTGTCTCTTTGGGTCAATTTTTGTTCATTAAAGACCAGTCGAATCATCTCCTGGAACTTGGTAGCAGAGGAAATCTACTGGGTTTTGTGAGTTGCCAGTCTTTCAATGAGGGAAATTCATTATCTATAAAATTTATCCTATGCTCATCATGGTTATGGTAAAACATTGCTTTTCAATGCTTTCATGGCAATACAAAACATACTACATCTGTAGTATGGCCTAATTAGATATTTAGGGGAAAAAAAAATCCTCTTGGAAAAAGGTTAGAATTCGTCATCGTGTACTCTATAGAAACTTTCCTCTTGAGAGTTATCTCGTATGAAAGTATCACAGATACCTTTCTGATACTTCACATCTCATGGTTAGCAAGATTGAAAATACTATTCATACAATAGAGTATCATAATCACTTTTCTTATCTTAGTCTCTTTGTTTAATGTCAGACTGAAGTGATGTTTATTCAGCATTTTAAGTGTTTCAACCTAAAGTGACAAGATGGAAACCGATGACCTGTCCTTTATAGCAGTCCCAGTAGACTAGAGACACAGCACAGCATTCCAGCTAACCGCTACCGTCCTCAGAAAAGTACTGAGGACACATAAGCTGCATGCAGAGACAGCCCCTCTCTTGGAGGTATTAGCATAGTGTTTTGGTGGGTGGTGACATCTTTTAGCAACTCCTCCTGAGTAGACAGTCCTTTTGAAATATGCTTGACTCCCTATAGCATTGGGAGCATTGAACAAAAATGAACCATTATTTCTTTTGTAACACGTAAGCACATAATACTTTTGAATTTCCTGAGTTAGGAAGTTGAAACCACAATTCAAATGTAAAGATGTTTAACAAACCACCGTGCCAAAGTAGTTCTTTGTATAGGTCAAAGTCTAAATTTTAGATGTTATTAATTATAATATTCTAGGTTAAGCAAAAATTTTTCATTCTTAGGTAGGTTATTAAGAAAATTATATTACATTATTAATACTATTATTTTTGTTAGATTTTTGCTATAGAGCATGTGTGCTCACCAGAGAGAGAGAGAGACAGAAAGTGAGAAATCTCCCCCTAGAGGAGATGGCCATGCCGCAGTCTCTTCTCCTTCACTCTCCTCTCGGAATTTTGGGTGTGCACTCTCCTCGGCCGGCATGAGTTTTAAGCTGCCAAACCCGGTACTCAAACCATGGTCAACTATGTGGGAGTCCAGTGACATAACCATTATGTCATCTGCTGGTCCCAATATTACATTATTAATACTTTAAAAGAGTAGATTCTATGAGTCTTGTGTTCTCATGTCATCATATTCTCATTCTACAATGAATACTCATGCTTAGTTAAGTCATTTTATTTCTTTATTTGTTATTATTTTTTTATTTTAATTTTACTAGAGAGAACCTGAGAGAGAGAGAGAGAGAGAGATAAAGTGAGAAAACAAGCCACCAGGTCCAAGGCTTGAATCGCAGTTGGCCATCTGAGACTCTGTGATAATCACTGTGCCACCCGCCAGCCCCAAGTCATTGTATTTTCTGACATTTTTCTTTGTGTAAAACTTTGAACCTAGGTCTTTTCACTCCTCATTTGTGACCTTTTAAGTTTAAAACATGCAGACCTCTGAAACCAACTAAGCACTTCTAAATACAGTTTTCTGGGAAATTGGTTAGAACCAGCTGAAATAAATTGCATTGTAATCCTTAATGTATCCTGAAATGTGAATGCATGTTTGTATTTGTGTGGAGGGGGAGATCTGATTATGAGGGAAAAAAAGCACCTTAGATTCTCATAATCTCACAGAATCGGTATGGAGGACTTCTGTGACCAAATGTGTGTGGGCTTTCCCCACATATCAAGCAAGCCGTTTTGTAGTGAACACCAACTGGGTGTACTCTGATTCAGTTCAGCTCTGACGCTGTTTACCTGGTGATAACATCGGGTCAGATCCCACAGGTCAAGGGCTCAGTTGCTAAGACTAACCCTCTCCAGGTGTCAGTCACAAGCCCAAGGTTGTTTAACCTGTGCCTCTTCTCTTTTTTTTAATTATTTTATTTTAATTTACATTTACTCACATATATCTTTGCAGTGTACAACATTGTTCTTTCCAGCGTGAATATGGTGCCTATCAGTCAATACAAAGATATTACTATATACGTTATTATCAGGAAATAGCTTTTCATTTTGTTGTCAATTAAAATGCATTTTTCTCTTCCCCTGTTCCCCTCCCTCTACTACCCACTCCCGTATTACCCCTACCCTTACTATCTCTAGTATCTACAGTTGCCCTTCCTGCTACAATACTTCCAAATCTTCAGCTTCTGTCATAGGGTGCAGACATTCGGTATATATTGAGTGGGGACATACAAAGTCTGACTTTCATTCACCTGTGCTTCTGATGGACCAACTATTCATCTGAGCAGCCCCATGGCTGCTCTTTGGGTTCAATTTATTTGAGAGATCAGCTCACAGGACTCAGGGAAAGACATATAGCAATGTATTATAAAGGATATTGCAAAGGATATTTAGAAAAGAAGTGTGGGTAAGGTATGTGAGAAGCGGTATGTAGCTTCCCAGACATCTCTGGGCATACCAACCTCCAGAAACTTCCAAATGTTCATGCGTTTGGGAGCTCACTAAACCCAGTCTGTTTTGTTTTCCATCGACCCCTAGTTGATTAAATCATTGGCGAGAGGTGATCACCTCAACCTTAAGTGCCCTTTCCTACAATGGAAATTGGATTTATAATTGTATTCAATACCTGAAAATATTAGGAATACAGAATGGACTAATGAATGAAAGCGATATTACATAAAAATCACAAATTTCAATGTTTAAACCCTTTGGTGTTAAAATAAATGGTGACAAGTTGTTAAAATAGCAGATTTTCTAACAATGGGACTTTGATTTAGAACTTTTCCTGGGTTATTGATGAATAAACTCTGATCATATATAAACATTATGACAAATAAAAAGTTTCCTGGCCATCATTGTCAAAGGACTCTAAAGAAAACTACTGATCAAAAATGAAACATCTCAAGAAATAATTATACTAAACCTAAAACTTATACTCACGTTCTGTTTTCAGATAACAAGCAAGCCATCTGAAACTTTCAGAAGCATTAAGCCCCAATACTGAGTTATCTAATTCAGCTTAGATTTAAATGATCTAGTATCTGTGTCTTTAATATTTGCAGACCTCCAATGACACCTTTGAAATCCCCCTCATGTTAACTGGGAACGTAGTGCTAAGGAAGAGACTCAACTATGAAGATAAGACCCGCTACTTTGTCATCATCCAAGCTAATGTGAGTATTCAGCTTCTCTTACATTTCTCCCGTGAACTTATGTGGTAAATAGCTACTTGTTCAAAGTGTGTCAGGTGCTCTTCCAGTACTCCGTGTGATTTACTTCCTCAGCAGGACTGTTGCCCTTGGTGGAATGTATACATCATATTTTTCTAGATAGATCAGGGTATGGAAGGGGCTGGCAGGACTGTTTCCACTCACTGTATTCTTCAGTCTCTAAATCAGTCATGTGTGTTACCCATGTGCCAATAATTTATCTGTAACCCATACTAAAGTGTTTCTGAAAGAATGACCACCACACAACTGCAGTGAAATCATCTTGAGAGGATTTTAAGAATGAGATTTCTGGGGACAGCAGGTAACATACTGGTTAAGGCAGTAGACTCCCATATGACTGACCGTGGTTCAAGTCCTGGACAGGTGGCTTGAAACTCATGCCAGGCACATGTGTGTGCATGCTCCAAATCCTGAGAGTAGACTGGATGAGAAGGGGTTTTTGGCATGGCCATCTTCTTTGGAGGACGATTTCTTGCTTTCTGTCTCTGTCTTTCTCTTTCTGTCTCTCTGGAAAGTGCACATGCCCTATAGCAAAAATCTCTTAGAAAAACAAAACAAACAAACAAAAATCAGAGAGAGAGAGAGAGAGACTGACGACTGACTGACTTCTGGGGCCAGCCATGTGGCCTAGTGGTTAAGGGAGCCAGATCCCACATGGATGACCATGCTTCAAATCCCATTCTCAGTGGCTTGAAAACACAGTGAGCATATATGTGTGCGTGCCCTAAATCCCAACAGGATGGAGAGATGGAGGAGAAGGGATTGTGATGCAGCCATGCCCCATAGGGTACTTTCTTCCTTTCCCTCCCTCTCTCTCTCTCTGTCTCTCAGATGAGTGGTACATGCACCCTCTGGCAATTAAAACATAAATGTAAATTTCTGGGTCCTAGTTCAGAGGTTCTGAATAAAAATCTCAGAGGATGAAAGTGGAGTATCTGCATTTTAGTGAGTTCCCCAGTGGATTCTAAAACCAATAGAGGTGTGTTTAACTACTGCCTAAATAGTAATCTTTTTCCTTGTGGCTATCATGGATTGAGTAATGGCTCACTAGCTATTAATTGCTATACCCATAACTGACTAGGTAATGTATCATGAGATATGAAGAGCAGTAACAGAAAACCTAAAAAAACATTGCTTATTCAAAAAAGGGCATATATTATTGTTGTTATTATTATCAGTTCAATAGAGTCACTGGAATTATATGGTCCAGGAGCTCATGTGACAGCTCAGGTGTACCACCAATGACTTGGACTTCCTCCACCCTTACATTTTGCTCCTCCCTGAAATTGTCACTATTGTTCTCCTGCCTTATGGGCCAGTGCTAGTTGAATACCTTAGCTCTCAGCATCACGACTGCATTTCTTTGTTTTCTTTTTTTTTTTTTTTTTTTTTTAGAAATTTTTGCTATAGAGCATGTATGCTTCCCAGAGAGACAGAAAAAAAGTGAGAAATCACCCCTCAGTGGGGATGGCCATGCTGTAATCCCTTCTCCTCCATTCTCCTCTCGGGATCTTGGGCATGCATGCACATGCGCCTGGTGTGAGTTTCAAGCTGCTGGGTCTGGGACTCAAACCATAATCAACTATGTGGGAGTCCAGGGACATAACCATTACACCATCAGCTGGTGTCCCAACTGCATATTAAGTTCAAGTGTGAGCAGGTAAAAAGAGGAATGATACTAGGACTCTCTTTGTTTGTTGATTCTCCCTTGTTTTATTTGAGAAGAGACCCTCTAGAGTCTTTTCTGACCCAACTTCTCCTTACATAACTGGATCATATGAGTCAGAAAAAAAGTTGAGAAAGTATGTACATATCCAAGGGAAATGTAATAGTAATTTCTGGATTACACTACTTACGATTTATATTCTGGGACTGGGACTGGGCACACTGATGACCTGAAAAAAAAAAAAAAAAGGAAACTAGTGTTTGAGTTAAGAGCCGACAGAGCCAGAGCCGGACACAGAAAGCTACTAACATTGGAAAGTCTCATTGTGAATGACAGGGCCAGGTTCTAAAATAGCAGTTAAGAGAATGACTTACCAAGCTGTGAAAAGACATGGAGAAACCTTCAGTACATATCGCTAAGTACAGTAAGCCATTCTGAAAAGGTCAGATACTGTAAACATCAACGATATGTGGCATTTGGGAAGAGGCAAAATGGTGGAGACGGTATGAAGATGAGTAGTGTGGCGAGGGTGGAGATGGTGGAGAGAAGAAGAGAGGGACTAACAGGAGAAGCTCCCAGGGCAGCAAAAACACTCTGTGTGGTACTAGGAGGGTAGATACATGGCATTACCTTAGCCCAAACCATAAAATGTGCAGTACCATGGATGATCCTTGAGATAAATGTGAACTTGGGTGGATGATAATGTTCAATGTGAATTCATGAAATATAAATACGTTGTGTAAGATCTCCATTGTGTACCACTCTGGGGAGGGGTTTTGATGGTGGTAGAAGTTATACAGTAATACTGGAGATGGGGGAGGGAGTACATGAGCAATCTCAGCATTTTCTCAGTTTTGCTGTGCACCCAAAACTGTTCTGAAATAATAAAGTAATAAAGTCCTCACTTAAAAAAAAAGCTAGTTAGACTCTGGTATCAACTGGTGTCTTTAAAGATTCAAACGAGCAAGGACCAGCAGTTAGCGTAATGGCTATGTTGCTAAACTCCCATGTAGCTGACCATGGTTCGAGTGCCGGACCTGGTGGCTTAAACTCATCCCATGTGCATGCGTGCCCAAGATCCCGAGAAGAGAATGGAGGAGAAGGGATTGTGACATGGCCATCCCCCCCCAGGGGGTGATTTCTCTCTTTCTATCTCTGTGTCTCCCATGCACCTTATAGCAAAAACCTCTCCAAAAACAAACAAACAAAAACAAACCAAAAACTTCAAAGAGCAGAAAGACAGCAGGGGCTAGCAAAAGGAAAACATCCTCAGTCAGCAACTTCATGTACAACAAAGTGTCACTAAGTACCATTGTTTTTTTTTTTTCTTTCTTACAGATACTTCATTCAAAAGGAATTTGGTGTGTGCACTTGCCAGAGAGATAGAAACAGGAAGTGAAAAATCACCCCCTCAGGGAGGATGGACATGCTGTAATCCCTTCTCTTAAAATCCCCTCTCAGGATTTTGGGCACATCTGCATACACACCTGGCATGAGTTTTTAAGATGCCAGGTCCAGAACTTGAACCATGGTCAACTATGTGGGAATATAGCAGTGTAATCATTATGCCATCTGCTTGTCCCCAAATTTATAAATTTACATTAAACTTTTTTTTTTGAGAGGTTTTTGTTATAGGGCACGTGCGCTTGCCACAAAGACAGACAAACAGAAAGCGAGAAATGATCTCCCCGGGGGATGACCACACCACAATCCCTTCTCCTCCATTCTTTCAGGATCTTGGGCAGGCACGCACACGTGCCCGACGTGAGTTTAAGTTATCAGGTCTGGAACTTGAACTGTGGTCAACTACATGGGAGTCCAGCAACGTAGCCACTCCACTAACTGCTGTTCCCTACATTAAGCTTTCTTAAAGCTTTTCTTTTCACTTTAATATTTTTTATTAGAGAGGTATTTCCTATAGGGCTGTGTGCTCACCAGAGATACAGAGAGAGAGAGACAGGAAGCTAGAAATCACCCTCCCAGGAGCGATGACCACACCACAATCCCTTCTTCCCCATTCTTCTCTTGGGATATTGGGCATACACACACACACACACACACACATACACACACACACACACACACACACACACACACACACAAGTGCTTGCGCCCAGCATGAGTTTCAAGCTGCTGGGTCTGGGGATCTAACTGTGGTCAACCATGTGGCAGTTCAGTGTTCAGCAATGTAACCATTATGCCATCTGCTGGTTCCTTCACTTTAATTTTTTGTTTTGTTTTGTTTTCTGAGAGAGAAAATTTTGTTATAGGGCACATCTGCTCTCTGGAAAAAACAGAGAGAGACAGAGACACAGAAAGTGAGAAATCACCTCCCCCTGGGGGATAGCCATGCTGCATTCCCTCCTCTTCCATTCTCCTCTGAGATCTTGGGCAAGCACACACACGCGCCTGGGAGTGAAGGTTAAGCCACTGGGTTTAGGACTCAAAGTTGGTGGACTCCAAGAGAGTCCAGCAATGTAACCCCTGTGCCATCTGTTGGTCCCTAATTATAATTTTTTTTAGGTGTCAAGTGGCAGACACTGAAGCAAGTACTAGTATTTTATTGTTTAAAGTGGAATTACTATGAAGAAAAATTTTATGTATACATATGTCAAAATTAAATGTATACATATTATTTCTATATATGTGCCTATCTATAAATGCATATACTTTTCCTCTCAGTAGATACTCCCATATATTGGGTTGTTGGGAAAGTCGTGATACATTTTTTGCATAGAAAAATATGCCATGACTTTCCCAATGACCTGTTTTCTAAAGTGTTTCACTACATTATATCCCCATAAGAAATAAAGAAGAGCTCTCATTTCCACTACATTTTAAGAGTTATTTAATTTTATTTATTACTATTACCATTTTTAAATTTGTATAATTTCTGAAATACCAAAAATCTAGAATAGGGATGCCAGCTCTCTTTCATAATAAGATACAATTCCTAAAGTTATATCAATATTTCTTCCTTAGCACCATCATTTTCCTAAGGCCACAAATATTCAAAGACAGTGTGTAATCATGGCAAATGTAGTGGTTGAGATATGTAAAAATCTCTTTCTATACTTGCAGATTTCAACCTATGTAAATACCTTTCAGAAATAACCCTTGTCCTAACTTCCCCTTGCTTCTGCTTCCTATTGTAGAAAGAATCAGCTCATTTTCAACCATCATTTTTAGATCTGCAGTTTCTTGACATTTTCTGGAGTGTGGAAGTAAAACGGGAGATTGGTGCTTTAAAGGAACAAATGCTTTCCAGTGTGTTCTA